GGGGGGGGGAAGGGGGTAACCCAGACGGGCGGATATCGACTGTACTTTATCCTTTTCGGTATAGGAAACGCGATGAAAACCATCTGGCGATTGCGGACGGGGAGCTGGGCGTCTCGACGGGCTGTGATAATTCGCCCCAGGATGGTGATGGGGTGGGCGACGCCGATGATGCGGTACACAGTCCACCCTGGAGAAGGAGGAGGAGAAGGAGGAGAACGACGAGGAGGAAGGGGGAGAAAAACAAAGACAGAGACGAGGGTCGCGGGGCGGGAGGGGGGAAGGGACGCCGCCGGAGGGGACCGGAGGGGACCCAAACCTCACGCATGTGTGCTTTCCCGCTCGGTGCGTACCCGGGGCGCGGTGGGTGTGGTTGTAGTGGGGCGGCGACGTGTGGACAGGGTATAAGTCAGGGCCGCGGCCGCCGCCCCTCAGTCGCCTCCTCCCTGCGCCGTCATGCGTGTCCTGGCCGTGCCCGCGCACGCCGCCGCCCTGGGGCTGCTCGCCCTCGCGGCCCTGGCCGCCCTCCCCGCCCGCGCCGACGCCTGGGTCGCCTCCCCCAACAGCATCGCCTCCTCGCCGGGGGCGCTGTCGCCGCTGTCGGGCCCCGGCCCCATCGCGTCGTCCACCCTGGACGCCGGCGTGCCCGTCGCCTGGCCCGTGGCCTCCATCGCACCGCCAGCAGGTAGGAGGAGAGTGTATGCCTCTGCGCCGGGAACGACCGGCCCCGGCAAACTCATTCGCTTTTGGGACATTCAGAAAGTACAGCCGTTTTTCGACGTTACGTACTTGCTAAGTTGAGTCAACGGCTAGCTTACCTAGCGCCTGGTAGGTAGGCAACATCTTGCATGCAGTGCATGCGTGTACTGCGGGGCGGCCTACCCCGAGTCTTGCAGGCGGCGGGCTCCTGTAATTTTCTAAATGATTCTGAGGAAAATGGAGTTAATTTACTTTTTGGGTGATCCATTCGTCCGATTTTTGCTTTGATGGCGGGGAGTGGCAGGACTGGGGGTGGCTAAAATACAGGTGGATGATTTGGGATTTGAGTTTGTGTCCGACTGTTGGGTTATGAATAGGACAATTGTTTATGCTCGATGCATCAAATTCTTACTATTTACGCTTTATTTACGCTTCACACTTTACGAAACTCTTAACAAGAGTGAAAACTACAAGACGGAAAACCCCTTTCCTGTTTGTAGAGGGGTGCATGTCGCCGGCGCTGGGCGTGGTCAAGGTGCTGGCCGTGGTGCTCGGGGCGTTGGCCGCCATCAAGCTGCCGCTGGTGCTGGCCAAGCTGATGCTGGCTAAGGTGCTGCTGCTGCTGCCGCTCGCCCTGCCGCTGGCCCTGCCCCTCCTGGTGCCCGTCATGCTCATCGCCTCCATGCTCCCCGGCATGATGGGCATGGACGACTCGCCCGCCTCGGACGCGCCCACCCCCGGCGGCGGCAGCGCCGCCCCCGGCGTGCCACCGGGGGGCGGCCCCGCCGGCGGCGGCAACGCGTCGCCCACGACGCCCGACGCCGACGAGATGGAAGCCAGGTGAGTCAGAGCGACGCGGGTTCACTGGGTCACCTGCCGACGCCGAGCGCCTTACTGTTTCGAGCTACTGTATCACATCCGACTTGTCATGCCGCAGGGGACTCTGGGTCGAGCGGTGCGTCCAGAGGGTAGCGTGCCAGATCAATGCCAAAGGGTAAGAAACTTTATTCGTCACAAAACGCAATCATGTTTTTAAAACAATAATCAGCTCAAAAATCAACATGTCATACAACGAGCACCCATTGCGCGCCCACAGGTCGAGAAAGGAGTGCGGCCGGTACCGCTGCGCAGCACTCGACTGGCTCGGAGGCACCTGACGAGAACTCCATGGAGTATCCCGTGGAGCACCCCGGTGGCGCACCCGCCGCTAGTCCGACCCGACCCGACCCGCCCTGCACGCCAAGCCGATCTCACGTAGCGCGGGTAGGGAGCGGCGACCATCAGTGAGGAGGGCCCCGGGGAGGACGGCTGCCTCGCCTCGCCCCGCCCGCTCCGCGTCGCGCCGCGCTGCCGAACAATACACGCAGCGCTGGTGGAGAACCTCCAGCAGCAGCAGCAGGCAGTGAGAGTGCGCTGATATGCACGCGGCAGCCCACCCGCAGCTGACGACAGGTCGCTGTTATGTCCATATCATGTTTGTGCCATACACACGATATTTATTGGCCCCTGGCCTTACTATTTAATATTTATTT